ACATGGCTTGTTTTGTTGGGATGGGTTCCTCATGTAGCAATAAGGATTGTTTTATATATTAATATTAGATTTGTATTTAACTGTCACTTTCTCACTGGATGGTTTGAGATGTTTTCCTTTTTAGCTATATCTATAGCTTTTTGTTTCTTGAAGCTGTCTTCTATGAAGAAATTCCTATGCTGGGACAGAAATTAGAATGATCTTTTCAACAAAACTTATTAAAACCTCTAGTTGATGGCTAGTGTAATTGGACGGTTTGAGATGTTTTCCTTTTTAGCTATATCTATAGCTTTTTGTTTCTTGAAGCTATCTTCTATGAAGAAATTCCTATTCTGGGACAGAAATTAGAATGATCTTTTCAACAAAACTTATTAAAACCTCTAGTTGATGGCTAGTGTAATTTTGTTTATGAAGTTGTGAGAGTGTGTTTTGCTGTGAAACAACTGCAAAATGATGTTACGAAATTCTGTTATTTTTCAGATTCACAGCTTGAATATGTTTTCAGTTTGTTAAAATTTCCAAGCTGCTAGCCAAAGTAACTCAAAATTCGAAATACTGCGCTGTGTTCCTTGTAATGCTGCCAGTAAACATGAGGCCAAAAGCTGCCCTTTTGGACTCTCGGAGACCGACACCGTAAAAGTTACTGTTATCAGTGAGGTTCGCGTATTTGGGGAAGGCATTGGTTAGTTCGGCAGCGACTTGCATCAGGCATTCGCTTTCTAATTCTGCAGATAAGCGTACTGACCTATACCAGTTAATTACTGTTAATTACACAACAGTGTAATGGCCACTGTTAATAACACAACAGTGAGGTTTATATGGGAGGACAGGACAGGAGGAATGTGACATGGGTAGATCCGTGAGAGGGGAAAATACTTCCTACAACTTCCATTGCTCACGTGTTAGAGGAGGTTTCAGACTCATAAAAGGCAGAAAAAAATAACTTCTCTCTCCTTTTGTCAAGAAAAGACTTGCACTTCTTTTAGTTTAATTAGTTCAACTTCAGTTCCTTAGCACTGAAATGCCCAGTTGTGCAGGCTTTTGACCTACTTGACAAGTAATTTTTACATTTCATCTAGTACCTCATTAAAGAACTTGGGAGGCGAAAGAAGATATTTATCCAGACCAAATAGGAAGAATAATCTTTTTAAAGTTCATGAGCTTTTGTTTCTGGCTCTGTTTTTGTGGTTACAGAGATTTTTTTTGTACTGTGTCCTTGAAAGCAGAAGGTGTTGTAAAGACTGATTGCCATGAAAGAGCTTGAAGAAATTCTGGGTGTAATTCTCATGCCAGTTTGTTACTAGCATGGGAGTTACTAACTAGGCTTCAAGATTTTGAAGCTTTGGTGTAGTAGAAATGAGCAATACTTTCTTTATGGATGTTTCGTGTGTTAAATATATTGACTACATCTTTACCTGCATTTTTCCAAACATATGCTGTTTGTGTGTCTACTGGCTGTAGATGAGGGACATGGAAATTAGCTTGAGAGAGGTATTTGAAATTCTTGTACTGTATTTAATGCTTGAGAGGTATTTGAAATTATCGTACTGTGCTTAATGCCTCTGCTACTGTCCTCTCTAGTATACAGGGTTGCTGTCCTTGTCTAGGCATAGCTTCTGATTATGGAGAAATATCCCCTAAAATCATCCTTGTGTGGGTGACCTAAATACCTTCTGCTTCTGTTGAAGGGATATTCATTTTTTTATTATTATTTTTTTTTCTTCTGCTGGGCATCTCATTGCGGAGTTGACAGTTCAGCTGGTCTGAACGTTTATATGCGTTTCAGGGTACGTTTTGCTGTAGTAAGTGCAGCAAAAAACCATGGGATTGCTGTAGTAAGTGCAGCAAAAAACCATGCTGAGGTGGCTTTATGGTAAAAACTGGAGAAATAACTGTAGCTTTAGGCTTCAGATTCAACACCTTCAATTGTAGCGTATTTCCACCTCAAAGGTATGTGTGTGTGGAAAAAAGCAATGGAGCAAACAGTGGATAGCATAAGAGGTAGCCTCTGTAGCTGTATCGCAGGGTAGGGTATTCACTGATTTTTAGAGGAGGATGTTTCTCCGCTATTGCGGAAGCTCTAGTAGGTTTGTGTCTACCTAGGCTGCGGTGTGAAATCTAACGTGGGTGAAGGGGAGGACAAACGAAAACCAGCCGTTGGGAGATGTGAGAAAAGAAACGGCATTGGACCCAGGAGGGCTTATTTCCGCACCCAGCATCCTAGACTGCTGTTACCGCCAAACCTTGTGCAAAAATACAAATGAGATTTGTGTGTCACGCTGACAAGTAATGCTTATCAGTCTTTGTGTGACTGTTGCTACTTCCATGCTGCACTTGGCGTCTCCTTGTTCCGGGTCTAAGTTAGATTGTGGCTGCTCTGAAAGGAGATTTGTCAAAAGATCTAAGCACACCTGTGGAGGCTTCAAAAAGGAGAGGGCAGAGGGAAGGATGAGAGGCGTCTCCGTGTAGTCTGGGAGCCAGGGAAGAGGTTCAAAAATGGGGAGATGATCCAGCAGAACACTTGGTCTTTGCTAAGGGAATAGAAATCACATTACAGTTTCAACTCTTATGCTTTGTTTCTTTTCTTACTCCTGTGGAGTAGTTTAGAAAGATGAAATTCAGTTTTCTCTGCCTGTGCAGCACTGTATTCCCTAACCAACTTAACGTCTGTGTTTTCCTTAAAGTAGATGATTGCACCATGAAAATCTTGACGTTTAAATCACCATTTCTGGTATTTTGTTTCCTTCTTGTAAACAAGACTGTTGAAAGCTCTGAGTTAACTGGGGGGGGGGGGAGGGTTAGCAAGGGGAAGTGTTAGCAAGTTGATGGCTTTGCATTTTTTCGTGGTGATAGCTACCCAGGATTTTTATGCACGTCCTGATATGTCTTTCAGGCTGGCTACTAAGATAAAAGGGTGAATTGTTAGATTTTTCTAGGAGAAGCTGGTATAAGTCTTGAGACGAGCTGCTGAAAAGAAATAGAGGTGGACACCTCTGCTTTTTTTCTGGAATGAGGTGGGAAGGTGGTAATACTTAGGTTTGGTTTTTCACCCAGCAAACTCAGTATTACGAAATTGGCCTCAGGTTCACCATAAGGAAATTTACGGTCTTGGTCCATTTGAGGTGGTCTGTGGTTTGGTTCAGTGTTTCAGTGCAAGAAGCTGCTGGATAGGTTTTGATTCTTTATAGCTGAGCAAATATCAAATTTAACTTCAGTTTGGTCTTGGTCTGTGTTTGGGTCTGAGGAAACACCAAAGGTGGTATTTTACATTTTACTCTTACGTGTGGTATTTTGTCAGTCTGCCACCTTAATAGGTGGAATACCCAGGATTAAACTTATCTGTGTACTTGGATTTAAAAGTGGTAATGTTTTATGGTATTAAGGTACCATATTGGCAGCACTCATCTTGTGCAGAGGACAAAACTAAGCAGGAAAGAAGTTTCTTGGGCAGAGTGTGTGCAATGTGGACAGAAGACAGGTGACTCTTGGTTTTCCTGACCAGTTTACTTCTCCCCTGTCTCCACAAACGTGCACCTACTAGGAACTGCTCTGAGAGCATCTCACTTGGTATGCTGAACGATCAAATAGAAAGAAACTATTTGAACAGGATGATTTGAGAGCTGTAATGTATGAAGTACCTACTTATGGATATTAAAATCAGTTACAAATTACATATTCAAAGTTTCTTTGGATCTTTTCTAAAAAATCTCTTTTCCTGATGGCTGTTCCCAGAAGTTGTCACAAGTATTTACCAATAGGTTCATAGAAACACCCTTTAATATTTAGAAAATCATGTGTTTGAACATATGCTTTGTGCCCAAACACACTGCAAAAAAAGGATAGATCTAGCTTGTTTGAAGTGTTAAATACTTAGGAACCTTTAACAGCTCAGGAACAACTTTAAGACAAATTTTGTGTTTTATTTCCTCAAGGAGTAGGTCAGAAAACCATTAGTCTAATGAGTTAATCTCAGTGGTATTTTATAGTGGTTTGAAAGACAACAAGCAATTTCTCTGTGGCAAAAATAGTTTCTGTGGAAGGGAGGAAGTAGTGGACTCCATGCTGTTGCTGGTAACTACTCATTCATCTCTAATACGATCTTTTCCTGTTTATCAGTTATGGTCAAATAAAAAGGAAACAAAAGTATTTGAAATGAAACCACTTGACTTCACTGCAGTTTTAAGGAGTCAGAGTTCACACAAGTTTTCTGGGGACTGGAGTTGCTCTGAAAAGCAAAACCAAGTCTTAACTTGGAGGTTAATCAGTAGATCAGTGCAAGACCGTAGATGTTAACACAGAGTGGTAGAGAGCCTTAGGTGAGAGGCTGCAGTGTGTTTGACAGGTCATTTAATATTTTAAGTATCTCTGTTCTAATACGCAGATAAAATGGTATTAGCCAAAAAGCTGCACAGACTTAAGCTTTTTTAAAAAAAAAAAAAAATTAGATACAGTTTTAAAATTGGAAACTGACAGTTTTCCCTCCCTCCCTCCTCCATAACTTCCAGACGTTACTAATTTTGTAAAATTTAAAATACTCAAGCTTCTTGTCTTCACCTTTAGGGAAAATAATTGTTGCTGACAAATGTGGAAATAAATGTACTATGAGGAGCAAATACTGTCGCTAGTATTCTCGTGATTCCCATCCATGTCAAAGCTTGTTGCCTCTTTGAGCTGTTTTAAATGATAGTATTTTTGCTCTTTTGCTTAAAGCAAGCTTCTGCTTTGTAATGATCTGCTGTGTTGATGTTGCTCGGCACAGGTTGCTTTAAACGACAACTTTAGCATGATGTATTTGGTAATTTTCCGAAGCTTACTTAAACGAACTAGAAGTTATGTCAAATCAGAAATACTGAATTTTGTGTAACCTTTAAAAGCATTCTGTTGAAATAGTACTATGTATAGTCTGATGAGACTAATGCAGTGGCGGTTTGATGTTTATGCGTCCTTTTTCTCCTTTTCCTTTCTTCTCCAGTTCCACTCTTATCCTGGGGACCTAGCTTCAATTTTAGTATCTGGTATGTTGAACTTAATGGCATTGATGATCCAGATGTGGTCCAACCGTGCCTCAACTGGTACAGTAAGGTAGGCCTGCATTTTAGATGCCTGTTTGTTTGAAGATTTGTAGTCTCAAAATCTTGTGAAATGTCTCTTACTGGAATTATGTGACCTTTTCATTCCTTGAATATCAGCTGTTAAAACAACAAACACGCATAGTTAAAACTCAAACCACATGGCTGACTTTGACTCTAAGTGAAGCTTTTTGAATTGTATCTGCTTGTTCTCTTTAAAAAAACCAACAAAACACCCCCCAAAAACGCAAAACCACCACCACCAAAAAAAAAAAACCCAACCCTACAAAAAAAGCCCCTGCTAGGTAGACCTCACAAGAAAAACATAAAAGAAAGGAACACTGAGTCAAAGGGGACAATATTAGTAAAATAGTATTTGTATTGGATGGGAAATGAATCTTAACAAAACCAGATTCCGTTTCTCCCTCTTCTTGCCTTTTGATTAGGCATTCTTTTATCATACCAGTCCTTCTGTAGAGCTATATGTGAGCCTAGAGCCTCCTGAGTTACATGTGCAGCTTTTGTTACAGGGTATAAAAATGAGCTTGTTTTAAAGAGAATCCACATTGGTGTCTTTCCTGTCGCAGCTCCTTGCACTTCTTATGTTTCCCTCTTACTGTCTGTTTGCTGAATACTCTGGAACAGAGGGGAGCTGATGCCACTGGACTGTGAGATGAGATGATTTATACCATTTGTCACTTTGAGAGACAGAAAGTTCAAAGGGTTCTAAACATTATTTGTATAAACTGTATTTAATTGAGTACAACAGATGCCTCTCCTGTGGGAGGGAAGCGCACATTGACAGCCAGCATTCATTTTGTTGCTGCTTTTTATGCATAGATCTTCTGGAACAATTCTTGAAATTCATATTGCGTTACAGAGAAGACGTCCTTCCCAGCTGAATAAGACTGGGTAGTGGAGCAGCATATCTCTGCTTCCAGAAGGAAGAACTTAAAAGGAGATAAAGATTGTGCATTGTGGTACTGAGTCTCCCTCACCAGTTTATGGCATTGCCAGTATGGTAAAGAAACCTTGTGGCCATGCTATCTGGCTCGTACATGTTTATACCAACATCACAAGCTTCTTCATGGAGCATTTAAAAACAGCACTAACAGTCACAGTGGAAGTTTTCTGTAGCTGTTTTATGATTAAAGTGGTATTGTGGTCATTAGTCTGCTGATTACTGATGTCCAATTCCGAAAAGTCCAGTTGACAGAGGCTGCTGATGGTTTTCTGTGCTTCTTTCTGCTGCCTGTGCATATGGTGGTGTCTCTGGCATTTTTAACCAGCTGCTGTAATCAGGAAGCTCTGATTTGTATTTTTTTGGTCAGGAGCCATCTGATGATGATGTCAGCATCTGTTTTGTTCCATCTTATCCCATGGAATCAACACTTTTCATGGTCAGCATGTATGTAGTGACAGCTTCTTCAAGGGATGCCAGCATTGTTCTTCTAAAGCTTAGAGCCCTAAAGCAGCAAGGCAAAGACTTAGTCATGGTTGTTTGGGCTCTACTAGGATCAGTTGCCAAGTTTTTGGTGATGAGTGCATGTCTCACTGGTGTTCTGCTCTCTCCCAGTCCTGAGAGGCCACTGTTGCCGGATCCACGTAGGAGGATATATGTGCTGACCCATATTTGGGGAAAGGCAGAAAGGTTGACCTGTTTCTTCCAGTTCTTTGAGATGGTGTGAATATTTTCATGCATGTTCTTAGAAATCTCAAAGGCTTTGAAATCTAATAATTCTTTACTGCCTGAGACATCAGATGAGAAGAAGGTTCTACACAAAGTTGCCCATCCTTTTTTGTTGTGTGTGCTTCAGTCAACAAAACCTCCCTTTCCTGAAGGGAGTGGAGTTGGGGGTAACAGATAAGGACTCAAAGCAGTGAGTGTGCTCCTCGGTTCCCTCTCTACTGCTTTCTCCTTGCTGTCCCCCTCAGCCTACTGCCTCCTGAAAGCCTTACCACTTTGCTTTTACCGCAGAGTGGGCATACTTTAGCAACTAGTTCAAGCATTGGAACAGGCTGCCCAGGGAAGTGGTGGAGTCACCACCCCTGGAGGTATTTAAAAGACATGTAGATGTGGCACTTAAGGACATGGTTTAGTGGTGGACTTGGCAGTGTTAGGTCTGTGGTTGGACTTGATCTTAAAGGTCTTTTCCAACCTAAATGATTCTATGATTCTAACTAGTAAGTGGCAGCTTATCGATGGCTATCACTTTTGTTTTTGATAATGAACACTTAAATATTTTTAATTCTACTAGTGTATTTGACAGTGTTAATATCTTAGTCTCATGCTCTTGTTAGGTTTTTAGCCATAGGAATTATTTACAGCTTCAGATCAAAGCTATTATTTGGGTTGTTACCTCTTTAAACCTGTATGACAGCATTTAAAAAGGAGCCTTTTATATAGGTTTTTATACACCTTTTCGCATTAAAAAAAGTTCTTACATTTAACTTCTGAAGTACTACTACGATGTAACTTAAATACAAACTTTTATATTGCATCGAGTGGCCAACCTGCATCCAACAGTCATTTGTGTGCCCTGTAACCAGAAATAGTCCTCACATGCTGACTCAGAGCACAAAGCCACTCATGAAGATTCTATGATGTTTTGTAAGCCAAGCCTATCAGTCATGAGAGGCTCAATGGAAATATGCCAAGTCTGAATTTTGTCTAACGCCTAAACTAGAGGAGCTGAAAGTGCAGAAGCTGGTTATTGCTGGTGTGCAGCTACCCTTTTGCTTGCTATCCCTTTGAGCAACAAAGAATCTGATGTGGTTTTGGCCTTGACTGATGTAAGTGAACGTTTGCTTAAAGACAGTGTCTTAGGTATCTCTTAGGGGGGGAAAAAAAAGGTTTTTTCCCAGTTGTGCTGTAAAACTCTGTTTTAGCTTTAATATTCCTTTGCCACAGTCTTGCATTTTTATCGGTACGTGTCCTTGGCCTTTTTCATGTGGGCTGGGAACTGATTTTCTAAAAATGCATAGTTCTGGCTATTTGCAGCTGTGAAATACTGATGTATTAAGAACTAAAAATATAGTACATGGCCGTGTTTCTTTTTAGCTGCTTCAGTTTGAGATTCTTGCTATAGAGCCATTATTTCAAGAGCACTAATTTTTGTTGAACGTTAGCATTAGTTCCAGGTTTTCAGAAAGATTCTGTTCATTTAAATACTATAAACTTCACTTGCAGCAGTGGAGTCCATTTAGGAGTAAAATCTTTTGTCTGTAGTTCGATCAGTCTATAGATTCTTAAGTTACATTTGCTTTTTACCACAGTAGATGTGTGTTAAAGATGGAAATTGAGATTTTTTTTTTTTCTTGAATGCCTTAGAATTTAGGTTTGAAGAGTCTATTTAAAATAAGTGGTTCTGCTATTTACCAACTTAAAAATCTGTGTTACTTGTGCATATTAGCATCTTTGAAAATGCGGTGGATGATTTGGTAGGTTACCCGCACAAGCTGTAGCTCTTGCGCAGAGTTTACTATTCCTTCATGTTTCTGTGCTGGGATGTTTGACCCAACGTGGGTTTCTCTAGCCTTTCTCACCCCTTCCCACCGCGGAGTGGGAAATGGGCAGCTTTGGCTCATCTGCGGTATGAAAGCAGGGGTCCTGCTTCAAGATGCATGGGAATATTTTGAAGGTAAAACTTTGGCGTGCGTGTAAATCCTTGCAGCCATTGATCCGAAACCCTCGCAAACCCACAGGATTTGGGGTCAGCCCTGCCTTTCCGCTGCAGGAGCAGTGGTCATTGCAAGTATTCCTATTCTCGTGGGTTTTTTTTTTCTTCTGCTTCTAGAAAAGCTGTGACCTACTTACTCTCCTAAATTATTTTGTTATATAAGAGTCATACAATCAAATTATGTAACGCTGATAGCGAAGGCTTTTTCCTGCCCTGTACTTCGTGTAGGCCTCGAACAGCAGGGCCAGGCAGATGGGGGGGGGGAAATAATGGTCACTCCAGAGATCTGGGACACCGTGCACTCTCTTCTTGTATGCTTATTAAATTGGATGATATCAAGTTGTATAATTTCTGTACTGAAATTATGTAGGAAAGTAAATGCCTGTACTGCACAGCTTGTAATGTCTTTCATATCGTGTTTCTCTGTAAGCTCGTTAGCAATTTATGTGCAGCGTGTGTAAGAGATCCTGCTTCTGTCTCCAGGCAGGTTCACAGGTAGCTCCCAGCAGTGCTGGTAAAAGAAAAAATCTACATGTCTCATAGGTTTTCTTGTGTTCCAGTAGTACCGTGAACAGGAAGCCATTCGCCTTTGCCTAAAGCATTTTCGTCAGCACAACTACACCGAAGCTTTTGAGTCGCTGCAGAAGAAAACCAAGATTGCTCTGGAGCACCCTATGTTGACAGACCTGCATGACAAACTGGTATTGAAGGGAGACTTCGATGCTTGTGAAGAACTGATAGAAAAAGCTGTGAATGGTAAGAGAATCAGAGGGGTCTGGTATATTAATTAAAAAAAAAAAAGCATTGAAATGTTACTGCTCTGAATGTTAATGTACTTAGTAGAATTGGCTAGTCCATGTGCTATTTCATGTCTAGTGTGGTGTACTGTCAGCTTTTGGACTTGTGAGTATGTGTATGATAAAGGCTAAAAATTCAGTCATGAAATCTCTTATCACTGCTACTTTTGGAGCCTCTTTCCCCCAGAGATGACAACATGGTGCACTTGAGTGGGTAAAGATAAGTTCTTCATGTAAGTGGCTGGCAAGCCGAAGGTGGGCTTGACTATCAGAAAAGTCACTGGAGCGGTGAGCAGGGAAGCATAAAACTTGAGTTCACAGTAGTGATCTGTATCATGGTTTCTGGTTAGAGCTTACCACTGAGTTGGTGTTTCAGCAGAAGTTTTCAGCTGTATTTGAATGAGAATGCTGTCTTTGCTTATGGGGAAAATAGTCCTTGGAGAATGGTGTAGAAGTCACAGTGACTGGAGGCAGAGGCTGTTTTCCCTTGCAGAGCAGGACTTGGCAACTGGTCTAATTGTAATGACCATTAATTTTTTTACTTGGAAACTTTCAACTTGAGAGCTGTTTACACACAGTGCTTCTAACTCCTAAAATGGGGGAGATGTACTTTCTGTTGATAGAATGGGATACAGAAAGAGTTGGGCTATTCCACTGAAGTGTCTCCCAAGACCTGTGCAGTGGTTTTGGATAACAATCTGATAAAACAGAGGTGCTCTTGGCTGTGGGTGTAGTGCTTTTTGACTATGTGCAGTCGCTCTTTATGGGAAACTTGTACTGGCATGAGAAGAGAACCTTGTGTTTGATGCCAGTAGAGTCAGGGACTTAGTGGACTAATTTCATGGATGTCTGGCACCAGAGATGTGTCTTCTAATTCTGGGCTAATCAGTCATTTTGTGATATCTTTTAGACAGATGCCAGCATACCTGCTTGACTCCATCAGCGTGGTTTATACCACTAAAGTTGGAAGCGGTTCTCAGGATATGATAGAAATGATAGCTTTAAAATCAAAGTTTGTCTTCCATGAAAATCCACCGTCTTTTTGTGAATAAGCGGTTCAACTAAGCACGATGTTAGGGAGCTTATTGCAACAGGTCGTCAAAAACTGCAGTAAATGGCTTTCTACGGGTTTTGGCTCAAGGTTTCTCGACTATATAGGTAGAACAGCTGAGCTCTGGCCTGCGCTGAGCTCCCTGAGCAGCTACAAGCGTTAAGACTGAGAATTGCCAGCGTTCATCCTCGCCCTCTGGAGTGTTGCCTGCCCTCCTGAGACGACGTAGTGTTGTTGGCTGGGATGGGAGCGTGAACAGCTTCCTGTGATGCAGGGGCATCTTGCGACTGGCAGCTTCCTCCTGAATCTTAAGGGCAAGGGAGGGTTGTAGGATGAAAAAGCAGCAGGGAGCTGTGGCTGGCTGTTACTGTCTTTGCAGTGCTTCTCAGACACGAGTGTCTGGGGGGAGCTGATGAGCCCACCAATATGAGGCAGGATCTGCTGAGAGCCAGAGGGGTGCTATATGCTGATGGTGATGATTTTATCAATGCATCGGTCTGCTGCCTTGGCTGTGGCTTAATCTCGTCAGTGCCTAGAGGCCGTCCTCTTTCCACTTCATTGCAGACTGTAGTAGAAACGATTTCTTGAATGGAATTTCACTAGAAGTCTAGAATGTGCTGAAAAAGTTCCCTCAAAAATTGACTTTTTTTTTTCTTGGGCACTAATGAAGTAAATGTTTGCGGCCTCGCTTTTTGAGCTGTTACATGTTCATTTCTTTTACTACTTAATATTTAACATACTGCATTTATTCTATCCAGCAGTTTTCCCCTAGGACTGGAGCTGAGGTGGTGTTTGTTTCCCCTTGTATATTGGGAGTGGGGTTGCTGTCTGCAGTGCTCAGCTTTTCCAGTGTGGAAGTACTGGCAAAGGACTCGCCTGGTAGCAAACTGTAGGTCTTGTATTGTACTGTGTGACATAGACACTTGCTTCTTGTCAGATTTGATGTCAATAATCTTGCTTCCCTGGTTCTTGTAATCATGTCCCTTTTTGGAGGCTGAGGAACTCAGCATTACTTAAGCAAACTAGAGAAATACGCTGTAGCTTGTTTTATCGGTCCTTTTTTGTTCCAGCAAGTACAGAAGCAAGTATTTCTAGTAACAGACTGTGGATAACTTAGCAGGAGAGTCGTCAAGTAGCATCGTTAAGTTTTGTCACTGCTTCTGAGGGACAGAATAATATGCATGAGGATGTTTATAGTGCTTCCTTTTAATCTGGCACCTGGCTAGCTGAAGTTAAATGTCAATGTACGCATCTCCCGTTGCTCCGTTGCTCATCCTTAATGATTTTGCTTGTCTTGGAATACATTAACCTTCCTCCCCCCATCCTTCTGCAACTCTTTATGCTGTCTTCAGCTTTTGTACCCATTTAAAGCTCTGTCGCCTTCCAGCACCCTTCGGAGAGAAGTGCTATCTATCCCGAGACACTGAGGCTGTATCCCATATTTGCTTTAAGCTGACACAACTGCGGGTTTTTACTAACTGGGTCAATCCTGCCCTTACTCAGGACACTGTGTCCCCTGGCCCCTTGTTTGCTGGCACTGGTGCTCATGCTGCCACATGGCAAACCAGGTCAGGGAGCTGATCGGGCTACAGTCGGGGAGAGGATAGGACAAATCTCCTGATAGCCGCAAAACCCCCTGAAACTGCAGCTGGAATAGTTTGTCTGGAGTTGTACAAGATGACAGTCAAGTCAAGGTGTTGAATGTAGCTGGTATTTAACAGCTGGATCCTTTTTCTTGGTAGGATTGGGAATAGATGTTTTCAGCCTTCAACACGTTCTCCTGTAGTATTGCTACCGTCTGCTCCCTGTGGTCCTCCACAGTTACCTGTCCTTACTCAGTTCTGCATCTCTCTCAAGCTCCTGTTTGAAAGAGGCTCGTTAGCACCCAGCATTTTACCATTTTACTTTCTTAGCAGCTTTGTTGTGAAGTCTCCATAGCTTGCTGCTTAGTCTCTAAGGTGTGGGTGTTCTTACGACTGAACTTCTCTCTGATGCGTTGTTTTTTCTAAATAAAAGCAGATTAACTTTAGTCCTGTGTATGGTCCGTGTAGTGTAGTTGAAGTGTAGAGTTAATTGAGATATACAGATGCTTAAATTATCCCTGAAATTGTTCAAAGAGGGAACTGTTCTGTTACAGACTGGACATGAATACGTGAACTTCTGACCTCTTGCTGATCTGAGAGTTCATTGCCTTAAAGGAACAAACAAAAGTGCAATGAGGTTGACAGAGATACTGCGCACTCAGTTCAGCCTAAAATGTCTTCTGTAGAGGCTAATATTTGCCGTGGTAGGTATTTAAAAAGTGAAATGCGATGCATCTCTGGCAGGCTATTTCCATAGGCTTAGTCATGTAGAAAAAGAGTAGGTGGTCAAGAATTAGTGCTAGCAGAGCTAACTCTTGTTCTTTTGCATTGCTAATGATGAACGCTGTCTTCCACCTCACATCACCAGATGATTTCTTTTGAGAGCTCAGTGGCAGGCAGCCACACTTTTCCCGCAGATTCTTTTGACTTGTGCATTACACTTAGAAAATGGGCAAATGGAAACTCTGGCAGCTGCCTGACTTCCTCTCAAAAATAAAAGGTTCCCTAAATCTCAGCTGGTTCACAGACTTGGTTCAAATGCTTCACATTTGGATTCATTCCTATAGCTTTCAGACGGCCTATATTATTGAAGAAAAAAATCTGCTTAATATTCCTACAGAGAGTATGTGGAGTGCAAATTACTTGGTTGAACTGTTTGCAACTACTGTAGACATGGAAAGCTGCTTGAAATGGACTGAAGATCTGCTAGTTTAGTATTATTATTCTGGGGACCGAGGTGTTCCTTCTGGCAGTTCTTGTGTCAGTATGTGATACGTGTTTATCTGTTGACATGTCGGCCCCGTACAACAAACAAGAAGTTGTGGAGCGCAGCCTACAGCCTCAAATGTCTCCCAAAACTCGGGATGCACAGGAACTGTTGTATTCTCCTGGAAGCTCTAGGCAGACACGTATACCTTAATTTTACCACCAAGTATGTTTGGATTCAATTCTGAGAAAGTATGGACGCTGGCTTGCTGCTCTGTAGTACTGAGATACATATGGAGGGGAGAGGCTTGCTAGGGATCCAGAGCCTACGGTAAGTAGATGGTAGGGTTTGTGTAGAAGAAACATATCTTGAAGGGATTTGAAAACAAACCTTGTTTCATTTTTGCTAAGAAGAAAGTGCAAGAGAATATTACAGCTTTGAGACTGGAAAATATTTGTGTGTTTCCTTGTTGCTCCCACGTCTTGAGGAAATTGTCGAGTAATGGCTGGATTTTTATCTGGTGTCATCTTTGTTTTCTGCTTCAGCTTTTCTTTAGAAGGATTTTTGTGACTACAAAAACCTCCATCTGTTTAGGTGTTTTGGGTATTTTTCTTTGGCTCAAGAAAAATCTTAAAAAACCAAACCCCAAAACCCAGAAACTATGGGCTAAATGCCGCTCTGAAGTTTTTTTCAGCCGTTGGCAGTGAAGTGAATAGATTTTTAGTAATCCTATCTACAGATGTGTGTTGTCTAAAAGGAAACTTAATACAACTTTTACTTGTTCCTGATTGGCTTCAGCAAGTTAAATATTTTTGTCCGCAATGTTTGTCTAATCCTTTCTAGGTAACAAAATAAAGGCTTGGGTTATCAGGGGGGTAGAATTTACTAAGCTTTAACCACTGTGAACTTCATGTTGTTACATCCAAAATGCGTCACAACTTGCTGTGAAGGGCTTGAAAATAGTACAAAATAAAAGTACTGGCTTTGGCCATAATTGTAGAGAGTAAACATGGACATAGAAATGAGAGGCCTCTGGAGTGAAGGGAAAAAACTTCCTTTGAAAACTCGCACTTAACGCTTTTGTTTTCTACAGGAGTCTTGAAATTTATTTTAAACTACTGATTCATTCGAGACAGCTGACAAACCTGAGCAGGCCTAGATCTGAGCTTCAGTGCCTCGCAGAAGCTTTGGAGACCTTTTGGTCAGCAGTGCTATCCTGGCAAGAAACATAAGGAGTGCGCTAGAATAGGTCTGGCTTCAGATACAGAATCCACCTAGAAATCCTCCTTTTTTTTCCCTGGTGGTGTCAGACAGGTGGTGATTCAGCTTCCAAAACAAGCTGCTGCTGGTTTGCAGTGCAAGTAGAATGAATGTGGAACTGCTCCCAGCAGAAAGAAACGTTTCTGGGAAGCAAGCTGGAGTATTTCCAAACCAATGTCCCATGGAAGACAAGAAGCATTATTAAAAAAGGCTGAAGGCACAGTAGGGGAGAAGTGTCATATCTTGACAAGTGCAGCCTGTGGGTGTTGAGCATGGGAGAGAGGTTAAATCACCCTTTCAGATCGTATGTGGTGTAATTCATCCTCTTGAGCTATTTATGTCCAATTATCTATTGGCTGCCATAGGGATAAATACGGTTTTGCGTTCTGTCTTGAAGACCGAATGCTCTAATGATAACCAAAAGGCTGGATTTCTGTCTAGGTTTGTGACTAGAAAAATCTGCCTCAGTGTGGGATTTCTTACAGCGCATGCATTTCTTCTATGGGAGGTTGGCTCTTCTGAATCAAAAATCCCTGAATTAATGAAATATCAAATTTAAAGCCTCTCATGTCTCGCCTCAACTTTATAAATGCTGAAGAAGTGGGAGTTAGGAACCCTACTCTTAAAACCAAAATAAACCACTTTTCTACATATGTTGAGCAAACTTCTGGCTTTCCTCAGTTACCTAATGCTAGGGGAGAGCTGATGTTTTTGTCTCTAAGGTGAAAGTAAAATCTGCCCTGCTTTCACAGAGTATTTAGTTTGAGCAACTTGCAGAGCTGAGTTTATGAAAGTTGAAAGCAGTTTTGTATTTTAAGACCAAATTCGGCACCTTTCAGGAGCTCTTGAGTGCCCTTGTTTTCCTATTAGATGGTCTCTAAATAGAGTATTCATCTTCTCCCAGGAAGTACTTGCTGGCTTGGATTTTAATTGAAACCTGGATTTCAGTCACGACAAACTACAGGATGCTAGGAAATGCTTTAAAATATTCCCTGAACATTGTGTCAAGCTTAACAAAAAGATTTTTACCTTTTTGTAAATAAATAGAGATGTGTGCAGTAGGGATTATTATTTTTTGTCTGTATGTTTACCAAGGGATTTTCTATAAGTAGACAGAGGCATTCATAATCTGTTAAATTCGTACCTCAAAGCCACAATTACTGGGGTCGGAAGAACTGAAAAGTATTAGATGCAACTTAGTAATTTCATTTTTTCCTTTCTCTGCTGGGGAATGTAAAACTGATTCCTGAGCAAGTTTGCCGGGTACCATTCTACCAAAGAGCATAGCTGTTGGATATTATGTGGTTAAGGACCCCTGAATGCATCCTGCATCTGAGCGGTGTATGTGCAATGTACTGTTTCAATATGTGACCGTGTAAATCTGTCGTTTGGGTCCTCAAGTCTGCCTGTGCTAGTTATCACTGTACTAGTGATGTAAACTGGGTGTCTGAACTCCGATTTTTTTTTCAGGTAATGCATACACGCGGAACAAATGCTTGTTAATGAAGAGCTTGTGTCTTGAGATGGTGGGGTGATGGGTAGGATACAGCCAGGGTGAGCAGGGGTCAAGAGGCTAGCCATTAGCTGTCTAATAGTTTATTGTGCCTGCAGAAGGTAAGGTAGGTTTTTTTAGAGGAGACATTTGAAGAACAATAGCAACAAGTTCCGCAAATGCTTGCTAAGCCCTTCCCAGACTGAAGAGCGATCCCAGAGAGAGTGGGTGTTACGAATCTCCTTTTCAAAAAATTAACGTTTATGTGATAGACCGATAACATGTAACCAGAATTAGGAACTGACCTCTCGATGCTGAAGAGGTGAAATGCGGTAGGTGTACAGAGGGAGAGAGGAAGGCACAAGGGGAGCTTGGGCAGAGTGCTGGAGTTAATGCTTCTCACAGAAATGCTGCAGTTGGCATATCTGGCCAGTGACCTAATGCATCTTCTGTTTCTCTTCTTGCTTAACTCTCTGAAGAGAATGTAAACTATTATTTTGTTTTTCATCCAGTGCTTGGTTATCCCATATCATAGCATTTAAACAATCTGCTTTTCTTCCCTTTTCTTAAATGAAGCTCCAGAGATGCTCCCTGACCTAGTTTTAACTTAACATGTACTAAAATGGTTGAATTATACATGCATTGGCAACTTTCCTTTTGCTTAAATAAGGGGGAGGGATTCTATTCTTAATTAAATACACCACACTGGAGATTTATAGACAATTGGCATGACCTGGCAGGAAAACTAGGTAATTCTTGATTGATCTAGTATGAGTATTCTTTTTATTTTAGTGCTTACACATTTAGTTCATTAACAAGTTTAACAAAATAACTGACACATATAGAGAAATTACTTAAAATGAAGGCTTTGGAGTAGCATACTGGATTGAGTTAGGCTGAAGTTACCTGCATTAAAAGTGATTTTGCTATAATGGAAGTATAAACGTTTTATACAGCAAAATTTGTGTTTTGCAGATGGCTTATTCAATCAGTATATCAGTCAACAAGAATACAAACCTCGCTGGGGGCAGATCATCCCCAAAAGCACCAAAGGTAAGGATATTTCTTAAGATATAACTCATGTACTGCCAGTTCTATCTTGTTCCTTTGAGGACGTTGAGCAAGAAAATGATGCAGTAAAGCCTCCTGTAGGACAGTTGTTCTAGGAAACGGTTTAGTCTAAGAAAAACTTGCATTTGTCTGCAAAGCTGGTGAAATGCAACCTGGTTTCTGGTTGAGTAAGGAACACTACAGGAACACTAGCTGTAACTTCAAGGATAGCTCATCAGTTCAGAAACAGATCTTGGAATGTAGGTTAAGCGTGAGAGCAGTTACCTGCATGACTGGATTTAACGCATGGAGTCAACTTAATGGTACAGCAAAGAGTGGTAAATAAATACATTATCTTAACAGGGAGTATTTTAAATTTGAGATGCATCTTTTGAAGTCTTGGTCTGTTATACAGTAAATCTAAACTGCAGAATCTTTTTCCGTTGCTTCCTGCATTGAGAGGAGGCTCGTAGCAGCAGCCTTGACTACAAAGTACAGAAATCACTGTCATACTGCAAATGTAGGATTTGACGTGACAATCGCCAAACGTGGAGCACCGTACCCAAACCTCTTGGGAAGGGTTATCTATGAATACAAGCAGGTCTCCAGCAGAATGTGGGTTATCTTTCTGATGTTGCTTCCCATAGATGACACCTGTCCTGAACGCTTAAGATATCTAAAGTGGTTGGAAAGCTGCTTTAATTGGACAGTTGGAATTCCCTTATATGTGAGAATAAGTAATTGGTGCAAAGCTAGCTATGCTATATCTATACCATTACCTCTTTGCTTCTATCCCATGGGTACGTTGCCCTGTCATTTGAGTATCTGTTCTCGCTGCTCAGCCTTCAGGCAGCTCTCAGGTGGGGAGAGGTGGAAGGGGAGCAAAAGGTTGTCTGTGTCCTCACCGCTGGAGAGCTGCAAAGATAGCTCAGACCTCATTTGTGTGGACCTGCATGCTTCAGGAACTCTCAAGCTGCTTTCCAAGGCTCTCAGAATTGCAGTAGAGTACTGTATTCACTTTAGCTGTCTGTACTATCAGTCACCAGATAATTCAGTATAAAACTCTGTACAGTTTTATAATGCACAGAAGAATACTACATGGAAAAAGTGCTGTGCTAATGTTTAAAGAGTGGTGAGTTACTGAGTTGCTCTGCTTCCATATAGTATTTAAGCCATACGTGAGGTTGTATCTTTCTTTGGTTTAAAAATCTTACAACGGAAAACTCCCCTCCCTCTTTTTTTAAAGGTGATGGGGAAGACAGCCGACCAGGGATGAGAGGTGGCCATCAGATGGTTATAGATGTTCAGACAGGTGAGTAGTTGCTAAATTTCTTAACTAACTTAATTATTTAATCAAATAATTTTCAGATAAATATGCAAACGTGTTTTTCTTCAGAGACTCTTTTTACTTCAGGTTTTGAGGAAAAAATTGCACTTTCTAATAGTTGGATTAAATACTCTGTTTTCTTTCTGGAACTATACTCCAACTGCCTTTCCCATCCCCCTTCTTCCCTATTAGTTCTCTGTTACGCCTTAGTCGTTGTCTTGTCTTAACTAAGAAAGCAAGAACGATTGTTTTTAATTTTTTGTCCCTCCTACCCTCTTTGAGCAGGAGCTTAAACAAGAGAAGAGAAATTAGGGATGATTTCCCTTATCTGCTACATACTATGCTCTTTGGAATAGTGCTCAAGCAATAGATCTGATGTGTTGAAACATTCCTTGTATTTTGGTTGGAGTGGCTTCTAATTTCCACAGTGTGCAAGAAACTCCTATTAAATATAATTTGTTAGACATTTTTTACAAAAATGTTTCCTGTAGCAGTTTAAAGCATGGTTCAGCCTCTGTTTCAAAGAGCCCGCAGAGAAAAGAAAGGGGGGGGGGTATAAGTAACAGTTCCGCTGATTGTTGTTCTCCATAATTTTCTGTGTCTGTCTTGCTTTTATTTAATCAGATTTCTGTGGTATGTCATTCCTTACTAAAATAAGGAATGCATCTGCCTGCATCTATGCTAAGTAAATGACTTGTATGAGTAAAAGGATTGTTCTTAGGCAAGGAGAAACAAGATCAGGGTGTGAGTAGCAGAGAGGAATATAGGGTGGCATTGAGGGACTTGGCAAAAAATTACCGTGGCCGTATCTGTTGTGGTCATATGGACGGGGACTGAAGCATGTGACAGGATGGTACCTTCAGGAGTAATTTGCTAAGTCATAGTGAACAAGCAAAAATGCAGCAGTAGCTGCAGCCTTTGGCTTTTACTCAGAATGTAGTTACTGCTCTAGAGGAAGCACTTGAGTTATTTTGTATATGAAAGCAAACTTTTTTCGTTGAAGAGGTTTGAGATTCATTAGCATAAAATGCTGCTGGAGGATTGCTGGTGTTTGCCTACAAAAGAAGCTGTGAACGCTCCCTAGTGGCCTCGGTGAATAAGTAGTGACTGTTTCACAAGTGCGCTGAAGAAACATGAGGCTTGTCAACTTGGAAATGATAGTCCTTTAGACCTCCTGAAAATAATATATTCATGGTAATGTGAGTCTTCGTTGCCATTCCTGTTGGTTTTCTTAAGTCCTAGTAAGCTTATTATCTCTGCCTTTGACTTAAGTTTTCACTCTCCTTTAACAAGGCAGTGAAAAGCATCGGTATCTTTTTTTTACCTGCACAAAACTGACTGGGGAGCACCTACGGAGGTAGAGTCCCAGTGTGGGAGAACTGGATCTCCTTCTGTCATGTCATAGTCCTTTCTTGCTGCAGCTCTATCCAGTGGTGGTGGGACACCTTCAGAAAGTTTCTTTGTGGGATATTTGGGAAGTTGCCCTTAGTTTTGCTTCCAGGCCCACTGAGGCTTGTAAAAGGCTAAATGTTTTTGAGATTACCCGTTTTGCCAGTTAATTTGGCTCATGAGCAGGCTGGGGGAAGTTCTTGGTGCTGTTATTCTTAAAAGCAGCTGTTGCTGATTGCTTGAGTTTTCCTTTTGAACATAGGTAGTGTTTAATGAGACTGTGGGAATTTAGCCAGTTATGTCAGGATGTGTTTTACAAACTGGAGCTGTAAAGCTCCCTGGCTAACCTTGAGCAAATCTAGTGTTAATGGAAAAAGGAGCAGCGGCGTCCTCTTTCCTTCAAAGACATCCTCCCTTCCTTATCCACACACTTGTTGAGTTGTTTTTTTCAGAAGCCTTTGGCAGCTGAAGAAAAATAAGCTGACTTTGCACTCCTTCGTGGAGGGGTGAGGTCCTTTTCAAAAATGAATATTTTCTTCAACTTTAATCTATTAGAAATGAAGTGAAACACCAAAATCATACATATAAGGAGGTTCTGAAGTTTCCTATCACATAGAATAGGTGTTGGAAGCAAATTTTAATCTCTGATATCCAGACCTGCTGTAGCTATAACTGGACTATAAATGGTTCTGCTTTTTGATTAACCTCAAGGAAATATTAACCAGTTATTATTGACTACAAAAATATAAGTTTATTTTTAATAAGTTCTGTAATAGTACTGAGCCTGCTGGATGCACATGTATTAATGTTAAGATAGAGGATACGGGTTGGTAAGCAGTTGAGCTAGATCTCAACTTACTGATAGTGCGTTGAGTCACTGAGACTCTGTTTATGCTCGAAGTTTCAGGTAGAGTATAGTTTAACTTGGTCTAAACTGCCTTTTAGCATGTTTTATCTTCCAATTAGGGTAGGCTGAAAGTAACTGAAAGAGCAATTCTGGCATCTCTGCTGACAACCAGTAACTTGTGCTGTAGCTCATTTCCATCTGATGTTCATGCTCCTAATACCTGCTGCTGCTGTCTTAGAATAAGTGTTCTTTGTGCTTTGAAAACTGCTTTAAGCAGTTTGAAATGAAAGTGTAGGCATTTTGGGATATGGAACTGAGAATATGGCCTGGTATCTTCCTGTATTTAAAAAAAAAAAAAAAAATTGGGAGTTACTGATTCTCACAATGTCTTCCATGCTTTTAATCATATTAACAGACTGGCATGACTCTGGGTGGCAGAATTGGGAAGTTGCTTTTGGTATGCGTTGTGCAGAAACATTTACTAAGAGGCATTCCCGGTTATAGTTGGAAACCACTGTTATGTACTTTAAAGCTTTAGACTGTAAGTGAAAACAGAAGGCTTATGTTATTTCTGCTTTTTCCTGCAAAGTGCATGTCTTGTGTAGTTCTCCATGTGGGAGGCTGGAGAGTTTTCTGCGCTTTTCTACAAGGAAGGAGAAGTATTTGGGTAGTCACAACTCAGGTGCATAGATCAAAACAAATGTATCCCCAAAACACCAAAAGTGAAAACAACCCCAAAACTGCACAAGAACATACTGTGTTAAGTGCGCTGAATGTCAGTCGTGAAAAGCTATACTGCTATTTATGTAGGCCCTGGTGAAATATTCAAGCAGTAAAACGCAGGCTTGTATATAGTACTGTGTTCCCAGATGCATTAAGCTCTAATGCAGTTTTGGACGAGGATGGTAGGCATCTAGCACTGGTACCTTGATTCCAAAAACTACACAAGAACATACTGTGTTAAGTGCGCTGAATGTCAGTCGTGAAAAGCTATACTGCTATTTATGTAGGCCCTGGTGAAATATTCAAGCAGTAAAACGCAGGCTTGTATATAGTACTGTGTTCCCAGATGCATTAAGCTCTAATGCAGTTTTGGACGAGGATGGTAGGCATCTAGCACTGGTACCTTGATTAACATAACTTTAATTATTCTGGAAGAAAGTGGGAATGGGTAAGTGGATTGCCAAATTCAAGTTTTAAGGAATAACATTGGTACTTTAGAGGAATACGTGTACTGTGTTTTGGAGATTTGGTTTATAATTCCATAGTTAAGGTGGAATTGATCTCCTCTGCTCTTATAGGGCAGACACAATTGTATGTGAATGACAGTGTAGTCCATAAAGCCATAGAATTTATTTTGTTAACAGAATTATAGACTGTATAGAAATAGTTCTATTAAAAAAAAGAATCTTTTGTGATATATCCTGTTTGTTTAAACGTTCATCTTTTATTTAATTTAGATAAAGCCTTCTGAAGTTTTCTGATGAGCCTGTTTTAGAAATAATAGCTAAGCAACCAGGATGATTTTTTTTGTCTGCATTTCTCTTCTCTTTGGCAAGTGAAACATTTATTGAAGGAAAATATTAGTGAAATGGTCTTTGTTGATGTGTTACCTCTATTTACTCACTGAAGTGAAACTACTCTGTAATTTTGGTTGTATGTTATTTGCTTTTCCTTTCATGGGAAGGAGCTCTGCTTACTTCATTCTATTAGATAAGCGAGAACAAATCTGTTGGTTGGGAACAGTGGGAGATTCAGAGCGGTGGGCACAGCGTGCCCATAGCATACGTGGGCAACACAGTGGAAATCATGAGGCTGGTTCAAAAGCAGCATGGAAAGATGAAGTGAGAGCAGCAGACATGAAGGATGCTGTTTTGCCTGAGGAAAACATGGCTATCCATAAGATATTTAAAGACAGGACTTGTGTACAAGATGAAGAGATCTCTAAAACAAAACACAGATGGCTTCTAAGCTCCGAAACACAAACAGCTGCTGAATCCTTGAGGTTACTCAGCTTCGCGGTGCTTTCACATTTGAGAGGAAGGACTGTATGCCTACCCAGAACAGCCCTAGCCTGAAAAACCTTACATCCAGCCACCATCTACAGTGAACTGTGATTCAGAAACTGAGTGGTGTGGTACTTCAAGAAAATTTAAGGTCTGGCTTTATAGTTGTCCTCTAAGTGCTCCTTACAAAGTGGACAATGCTGCTTGCAGGTAACTAAATCTATTGTTACTACATAGGGAAGTGACGTCCTTTCGTAGAAGGCTTTTGAGACATCTTATGCCTAAATTTTTTACTTCTGAGACAAGCCCTTCTTAGTTCTAGGGACACTGATTCTCAAATACACCCTCAGCAAGTTTGGGCTGGTAGCAAATTGGGAGGGCAGTGGTTGATGAACTAGAGACTAGGGCTGTGAGTCAGAGGGACCCTGATGGGCTGCAGGGAGGGCGTTGTGAGGTTCAGCCGAGACGAATGCAGAGTCCTGAACCTGGGACGTCACAGCTGTGTGCAATACTATAGGCCGGGGACTGACTGCATGGAAAGAAGGTTGGCAAGGTGGTAGACAGCTGAACGTGCATCAGCAATGTGTCCTTGTGGCAATGAAGGCCAATGTCCTGTTAGGCTGTATTAGCAGAAGTACAGCCAGCAGGTGAAGGGGAGTGATGATGTCCCTCTGTTTGGTACTTGTGAGGCCGCATCTGGAGTACTGTGCGCAGTTTGGGCTCTCTGGTACAAGGATGGTGACAATCTGAAAGGGAACCCAGTGAAGGGCCGCCAAGGTGGTTGGGGGCTGGAGCACATGATGTATGAAGAGACGCTTAGGGAGCTGGTTTTGTTCAGCTTGCAGAAGAAAAGGCTCATGGGAGGATCGTAGAGCTGTCTTCAGCTAGCTGGTGGGAGAGCATGGAGAAGATAGAGCCAGACTCATTTTGGGAGGGTGTACAGGGATAGGATGAAGGGCAGCGGACACATTGCAGCAAGGAAAATTCCAGTTTTATATTGGGGGGGGGGGAATTAATGAAAGATGATCAGTCATTGGAGCAGGGGTCCAGACAGTCTGAAATACCCGTGTTTGAAGATACTCAAAGTGTAACTGCGTACTTCCCTGTGCAACCTGGTCTGTTGCTGAAGTTAGCCCTACTGTAAGGGGTTGGGGAGACGAGTGATGGACCAGATGACTTGCAGAGGTGTTTTAGGTCCATAATTCTTCCATATTCTGTGGAGAACTGTTCTAGCAGAGACATGAAAGTACCATTTGACCGAAGTGTTTAGTTAATATGTCACCAGGATTGGAATGTATTCATTGTGCCTATTACAAGGTAAAACCAGGGATGCTCAGGCATACCAAGCATCTTTCTTCAGCCTGGCTTTAGCAATTTGACACGTAACATCCTGATCGGATGAGGAAGACCCACTGTACCAGTATCCCACCAAGGATTTCACCACACAAAGGAGATGGAGTTAACAGAAGTTAGAAAAACTGACTTGGAGAACATACGTGAACCTAGACTGAAACTACGCCGGGATTTTTGGTATTTAACAGGGATTGGAGAAGTCTGCTTTGCATACTCTTCTGAAAAATAGAACTTAAGGAGAGGTTGACAGGAAATACGTTAGTTTTGGGGGACGTACGTTCTTTAATAATTTGAGGAGTGCTCTGGCACCTTCTAGTCTTCCAGAGAGTAAGGGAAGAAAAGAATTCAGACGTTATAGAAACATTTTTGACTGAACAAGCAGTTTTGAATTAAATATGTTCTGTGAATATTTCTAAGTGTTAAATTTGTATTCAAAAATAAATTTAGAGGAGATAATGTTAAGATGCTGGAGGAGACATTTTACTTCCTAAATGTAGCTGCTAAAAGCTTTGGGTAAATATAACCGCTTTCATGTTTTTCTTGTTGGCTTGCAGGTAGGTTTGAAAATTCTGCTCTGTCCCTAAAGCAAAGTAGAGGCTTGCTTTAATAAAGCAGCATCAATATTGCTGCGTTACATATTGCTCGGATACAAAGGAAGAATCCTTCCCTCTGCCAGAGCAAGATGCCCAGCTTGAATCTTGAGTTCCCTAGTGCTACTAAAGTAGAAGTAGTTATATTGATGTGAGACTGCTGTGCTCCCCTCAAGCTTCCCCACTCCTGCTGCCTGGAAGTTTGTGGTCTCTTCCCTCTGTCTGCCCTTATCTTTGAGCATTTGCTGATACGTTGTTTAGGCTGCAATGCCTGGGAGTGTTGGGCATGCGTCCTGGGTCTGTCCTGGTTGGATCTCTGCGTGCAGGGTGGAAAAATAACCCTCCCCACAAAATCTGAATTGGCAAATAGAGCAGAAGGTGTGATACTGGTTGGGGAACAGAGTGAAGTTTGACTTCTTAAAAACAAACAAAAACCACAAACAAAAAACCCCCCCAAAACCACCAAACAACTAATTTTTCCTTATACCATGGGAGAACAATTGCAAACTTCAGAAGAACTATGAAAAATTATTTTCTTGACATGACCAGCAACAGATGCGTTTATGCATTAAGAAATGTTCCTTTAAAAATACAGAGACTTCCTATAAAAATTTGTATATAGTTCTGTAATAAGTCATAAGACTGAAAAATGATAGCCATTCTGAGTCTAGATAGTGATGGAGCCTTTCTTTTATCCGAGCTACAGTTTTACATCAAGGTGAATAAGTTTGGCACACTGTTCACGTATACTTGTGTTATCACAGTTGCTCTCGGACTCTGGGGATGCTCACAGTTTGCACGAGCTGGATGATTGTACCCCTCTTTCAGTGCTTACATGCCATTTAATTCTGTCAGCTTGATTTAGGTAACTTTCAAAATCTGAGTTTTCATCAGATTCATTCAGGTTTGCTATTAAATTTCATCTGAGACAACAAAGCCTTTCCAGGCAGGCATGACGTTTTGGCAAGGCCCCAATAGGATACTTAGCTGGTGCCAAATCTTTTATTTTTCTCGGCTATCAATGAAGCTGTTGTGGTAATGTGGGTTTTGTGAGCTGTGAGAATTTATGTGCACAAAGGGACCTGCTCTTTGCAGGGAACACTGGAAGCCCTGAGTCCAGGAGGAAGGGTAATTAAAGTTAATGAACCAGGGTAACCTTTCCATGGTGATGACCACTATCCTGATGGTAGGTAAGGGTCAGGGACTATTCCCATTTTATAATCGCGCTTCTAACTCTGCTCTTTAATTGGTGTTGGATTAAAAATTGGCCATTACCTGCATAATAGAACTGGTTTGTGGATTTTAAAGGAGTTTTTCAAAGCTCTGCAAGTCTTCAGTGGCTTGTTCTTCTTGGACTTGGCTTTGTGTTGTGTTTTAATGCAGTCTAAAACCGAAGTATTTTTAGCATTTGAGACCAGATAGTGATGTTTCTATAATGGGAGCAGCTTAGTTATCTCTCCATGTCAGAACAGAGACTTCTTCCTTAAATGCTTCCCATGTTCAGAGGCTTCATCTTGTTTTATCAGCAAGTCTGAGAAGCCTTTGAACTTGCTGCGCACGGAGCGGTTATGGGTTTAAGGTAACAGGCTCTAAAGATGGGCCTGAAACACTGACTTATATCTGTAACTCTTCTACTTACTTGCTTTTGCGGCATCAGGTAAGCTACTTTATGCAAGGCGTTTCCCTTGAAGAGGATTTAATCGCTGAAGTAAATTTTTCCTTTGTAAGGGATGGACTAAACAGAAAACCTTTGTTGCTGCTGTCTCAGAAGTCTTTCTAATCTATAGGTCTTGCACCAAATGTGGGGTACAAGCTGAGATGTCATTGATAGACTAAAAGGCGCAGTATCCAAAATGTTAAATATTGTTCATTTTTCTGTCTTGAATTTTAATCAGAAGGCTGTGGATTTGATTGCCTCTTATGTAAATGTAGAAATAGAAAATGACTCCTTGAGAATTGGCTGTCTATCAAGCCTAAAAACTTCCATTACAAAACCAAACCACATTTATTTGTCTTGGTGACTGGTTCCATTCACAGAGGAGTGGTGCTTTAAGTAAGAATGGGTTTCAATTGCTCTTCTGATAGTCTGTCTGTTTGTCACAGGTGTTTTGTAGGTATCAGCCTGTTTAAAGGCATTCTCTTTTTAAAATAAAATTAACATGTTCTTCCTTTTTTTAATAGAAACTGTTTATTTGTTTGGTGGCTGGGACGGAACTCAGGATCTGGCTGACTTCTGGGCATACAGTGTGAAAGAAAACCAGTGGACCTGTATATCCAGGGATACCGAGAAAGAGGTGAGTTCTGCAAATGTCCGTATTGTTAATAATACATGAATTGCTGCACAGAAAAATGCCAGGCTTCTGAAGTGCTGGTATTGACGTATAGTGTGTAGTGAGAGCCACAAAATTCAGACCTTCAAGTTCTGAAGACTTTTGAAATGCTTACGTTGGGAAAATGTGAGATGGATGTGAGTTTGTAGTGTTAAGATTACTGGAGGGGAAAGGTTGTTTCTCAAGAGCGGACTGATCGGCCAAAAATCAGTTCTGTGAGTAGAACATGAGTTAAATAATTTGATAGGACTGAACAACCAGACTTGTGAATAAACATTTCAGAGCTGATGCTGGTGTTGAGCTTCAGAAACAAATTGTTTATTTTTTTAGCTTCTGTCAAAAAATGAGTAGAAATGGACAACTAACAGACAGGAATCTAGAGGACGGGGGTAACTGCCAGAGGCCACACAATCCCGAGAGCTTTTGTGGTATTCATTTGAGCCATTTTCCTTGGCTTGTTTTGCTCAGTATTTGACGTATGAAACATCTGAAATGAGTGTAGCTTGTGTTATAGGAGGTAACAAAAAAATGTCCAAGACCTTTGGCTTGTGTAATTCATTTTACTGTGTACTGTGAAATGTTAAAGTTCCATGTGGTTATTGTGTTTTGAGTTCGTTGCTTGTTTGTCAGAGCATAACTTCAAGAAAGTCATGCAGCCTCTTCCTGAAGGTATGAAAAGTTTGAGATTCCACCACTTTTTGACAAATTCAGGAGTTGATTTCCTCAAGTATTTGGAAAAAAGTATGAAAACATCTTATTTCCCATTTGTATTTTTCCAGTTTCTTGTCATAGCTTATTTTGTGAGCTTCCATACCAGATTAAATGACACTTTAATATTCCCATATTTTCCTGGCAAAGGTGTTTAGAGGTGGTAATCAAGTAGGACAAATAGCCCGAGCTGAAAAAAATCTCACAGTAAGGCACTTCCCGTAGCCTTCAAATCTCTGTGCGTGTCATGCACTTACTGTTTCTAACATCCGTTACAAAATGGGCAATAACAAAACTGAACGTGATATTCCGGTTTCTATCATAATAGAGCTGTATAAAGGTAAAATTGTCCTTACATTTTATATCCTTGTAAGCTGTTTTTTAACTCTTACTGTAAGGGTTTTTTTTTTGTTTTTTTCACTCTTAGTCCTTTCATCACTGCTCATGGCTACTCGTATGTTTGTTGATACGATGTTGAAGCCGGATTTAGTCTTCCAGGGTCCAGTCCTGTAGGCTGGGCTTGTGTTGCTTCTGTTTTGTCTTGAACCATGGGTTTTACTATTTTTCTCACTGTTTACCCAACAGGTAACCTCCTTAAGATAAGGAGGGGTTCGTGTGACATAATACCAAGGGGAAATTTGGACTCATCTCTTTTGTCAACTATATGGTAAAGATAAACAGCTAGACCTTCCTTTCCTTTGTCTCCCTTTATAAGGAGGTTGGGAAAGCAAAGAAGAGCTATAGAAAAAAAGGCAGAACAATTTTTAATTGCCTCTTCTTTCACTTTTCTTCTTGCTCTGTAGCCGCTTAGTGTGTACATTTGTCTAGCTCAGGATGCAGTGAAATAGGGCCTTCCTGTCAAAAAGGAGTTACCGTGTTTTCTTCCTGCACAAACCAGTGTGGGTCGTTCTGGTGTTTAAGGGATTAATTTCCTTTCCTGCTGGGATCCTGCCTCATCCAGTTGAGCTTCTGTAGAGCTTGGGAGGCCTGGCTGGGATGCAAGGCATCAGCAGTGCCAGGAGCAGCGTATGTTTTCTGTTCAAGTTCCTCATGCCTGACTCTAGCAGGGTAACGTTGGGATGGGAGAAGGAAGGGATATGCAAAGGATGGCTGCGTAGGAGAGGCAGTAGAAGAGATGAGTTGATACAATAAAGTGGCTATAAAGGGATTTTGAAGGAAAAAAACCTACAGGGTGCGATGGAAGGTCAGGAAATTCAAATGGAAGATGGGAAGGGTCTTGGGCTGAGAGGAAGCAAGATAGGGGAATTTAAAAAAAAAAAAAAAGGAGAATGAGTTGAATGCATAGGGAATTTTGAAGAAGAGACGTCCTTAACAGAGAAGTGCGAAGAAGTGTGTGTGGCTTTAGCAATGGAGTTCTAGAATGACTCTGCGTGGATATAGTCTGCAGTGGAGTTCAGAAGAAGGCTTGCCGAGGGTTTTGGTGACTTACTGAGGTACAGTGAACTGGCAGCTGCTGTACTTGCAAACCAGCAGTGTGTTTTTTTTTTCTAAAGAGAGCTGGATAAAACCTGATTTAGAAATGAAAAGGTCAATCTCAAATGTTGAGAAGTGAATTAAAAAACAAAGACTCCAGATGTTTCTCTAATAGGGACATCAACTGTTCATAAACAATTTGTGAAAAGGAAATGTCTGTTGATATGGAATTTTAAAAAATGTTCAGAGTAGATTCCAGTAGAACTTAGTCCTGCTTTTGTGTTGTATTGTACTTGTTCTGCTTCTAGCTCTTTTGTTCTAATTAATCAGTGACAGTGGTTAAATTAGCCACTCAATAATTAAGCTTGGACAGGAGCGGAATATGGTAGAAGTTGCATCTTATCCAGTGTTATCATAGGGGTAACATACAGTAGCGCTTTTGGGATAAAGGTACTGGTAGCTTCTGTTGCAATGCGTTATGAAAAGGTCGTGTGACCTTTTAGTAAACTGTTGCTGCTCTCTTTCAAAATTTGCCAGCGAGCTGGAGAAATGTCTCTCTGTCACCTGAAGTTGCATTTGTGATTTTTAAGTTAGACTTCCAAAGTTAATTTTCCATAGCCCTTTTTACATCAGGAAAAAGTGCTCACAGCACTGCTGGAGTAGCTGATCACTTACAGTCTTAAAAAGGGGGGGTATAGAGGACCTGCTTGCAGTGTTGGGCTGAACCTCCAGCGTACGTACTACAGCTGCTGATGGACAAACAGACCTGAATTAGAACTTCCCCACCATCCCTTTAGTGTATGGATCCGGCAAGGCTCCTGCAGTCCTTGTCAAATCGTCCTCCTCCAAGCCTGCATCCTTCCAAGGAGATGCACCATGGAGCAGCTCATGACCTCTCAACTGTACCCACAATTTCTGTCCTTCTGTCTCCCCTCTGGAGTACGCAACAGCTCTGCGAATCAGTTGGCGTGAGGCACAGCCAAGACATGTGAAGTCTAAGAGCCTTTAAGGGTTTTTACCCTGAACCAAGTGGAATGTTCTGACAAATGGTGTTGTCTTCAGGGTTTATTAATGGTTGTAGATCAGTAGATCTTTTCAGGATTTGGGAATAAATAGTTTTGAAAAAACAAACCTTGTCATTCCTTGGGCATTTTGATCCTAGGCCAGTGTCAACTAATAGAGAAACTTAATGTGTATGTTTTGGTGTCTAATATTTCTAGTTTCCAAGCAGCAGCTTTCTCTTTTGAAGGCTAATTTAGTGAAATTCGGTACAGGAGGACAGTTTAAGTGAACTGTAGGAAAGAATTTGCTTGGTGTAAATTGATAGTTAGGTGGATTTTTAAATAGGATCAAAATGCTGAAGGGTGTTGATGCCTCTGGAGATTTGATAAATGAGAATAAAGAATTGTAATAGTTGGCATACTTTGTATGTCACTAGTATTCCTGTACCTTGTTTCAGTATTTCCTAGAGATGTGAGAAGAGATACAGGATCTTCCTTCAAACAGTGTTACTGCATGAATTGGTAGCTTCTGTAGTGCATATTTGTAAATGTGGTATGCTGACTCATCCTCGTTCTGCCTTTTTTAGAGGAGAATTCTGCTCACACATCAGCTCTGTGAAGGATGTGGAAATTGTGTAAATGGGTTAGGTTTATGTGACACTGTGTTTCTCAAAAACTTTTTAAGCATTTCTTGCCAAAGGTAGAAGTGAAGGTCTTGTCATGGGTTAACTGGTTGAGAGGATAAATCGTTTCTCGCAGTGAAGGAAAGTGTAGGTCAACAAGTGCGTACTGTTCAGTAGGTTCAAAATGATCTAGAAAATCGGTGTATTGTAAGGTGACAGTTTGCTGCTAACACCAAGTGCTTTTCCAGGTTACTGAAAGTAAAAGCTGACAAGTGTAGAAAGACTCATAATAGTGAGAGCCAGGGTGAATTTCATCTGCTATTGTACTTCCAGTTAAATTTTCTACGGTGTCTGCATGCATTTCTTTACGTTTGTTGACATGGATGAATTTACCCAAAGCTTCCAAAGTCATATTACCACACAAGCATTTTATGCATTTATAAGCGTTTGTGACACCTATGACTGATTTTTTTTTTTGGGTGTGATGCAGAAATATGTAAGCTTATGTCTGTAAAGCTTTTACCCTATGCTGTTTTAAGTGTAGGAACTGTACTAGTTTCAAATATTGACTCCTTCCCACAGATGGTGATACAGTTTGGAAGACGGTTTAAGTAACTTGAGGGTTTTTTGTTTCAAATACTGTGATGTTTATGGACTTGAGATCTAATATACTGAATCTGCCATGTCCTACTTCTGAGTAGTTCCAGTTGTACAGATGCTCAGTTGTACGAGATGCCTGGTGCCACAAAAGCACATAGGGAGAAAGCAACTGTCCCCAAAAGCTTGCAATAGAAACTTGGATACTGCAGATACACCTCTGAGCCAACTTCCTAAATAGTGTAAATGCCTACAAAAGTAGGGACAAAGAAGGCAGATGCTGAAGTGAACCAAATGAAAAGTATTCTAGGCTGATCCTAAATATCGCATGCTAATGTTTTATTTTCCTCCCTGCTTAGTAGCATAATGGTTTTTAAGTGTTCTAGCCAGTATTCTTTCTCCAAAATGTTAGAGACTTTCAGATATGCCTGACTAACTTCTCCAGTGATTTCCACATAGGCAGCCTAAAACAAAAAGACCCTGCGGAGGGAGGAGTACCTCGGGGTTTGGTTTTTTTTTTAAATTCTTTTGAAAAGATTTTCAGCTTTTAAAGGCAACTTCTTACTTGCTTATGCTACCTTGTGTGCCTAAGGAGCTCTGT